TGATCCAGATCTTCTTCAAGTTTTGTTCGTGCTTCTTGCGTTCTTTGATTAAGCTTTTGGATTTGAACATCCTTGTTTCTGCATCTTTGCATCCAATTGCTAGCTACTTCCTGCTCTACCTCAAGTCTGGTGTTGAAATTTTTTTCTTTCTAGCTCCCATTTTTCTTTTTCAATATTGGATTCTTCCATCTTTTGGCCTCTGACTTCAAGTTCAGCAATCAGCTGGTTCATTTCAGATTCAAATCCCTTGAACATGATATTTTTCTCACCTTCAAATTTATCAACGACATCATTCTTCATCTCTTCTAAACCTTTGGCCCGATCCCTTTCTCTTTGCATTTCATTCATGATCTCGCGGTGTTCAGCCTTGCTTTTTATAATTCGCTCTCTTCTGTCAACCTCAAAATCTTCCATTTTTTGCTTTCCTTTCTCAAGGCTTTTGAGTAAACGACTATTCTTTCCTTTCAGATCTTCAACTCGTCTTTTCTCGATGTTCAATTCTCTGGTCATCTGTATCGTCGATTGGCTTGGTCCTGATGCTTTCCGGGATTTATATAACTCCTGGTAATTTTTCTGTAATGCTCTGAATTCATCATCAACTTTTTCTTTATCTTTTCTCAACATTGTACATTGTGATGAATGAAAGTCAATGTCAACACCCAACATAGCTTTATCTTGTCTCATTTGCTCTAATTCTTTCGACCAGCCTTCTCTTTCTGCTTCAAATTCAGCTCTCAGGATTTCAATCTCTGATGGAACCACCTTAATGCGATCTTCCATAGAGATATCCTCATTTTGATCTGGTAGAGGAATATTTTCATTTTTCCTGACATATCTCCATTCCTCATAATCAGGAGTTAACATTTCTTTTGCTGCTTTAGCTCGGATACAAAAAGTTGTTTTCCAAGCTGTAACGGCTTCCATGATATTTCTTTTATAATTTTTGCTGTGGAATGCGAATTCAGACGACTGTAATCCAGCAGTGACAGGTACAAATTGACGACCCTCATACTGTCTTATGACCAGAAGTGGTGCATATCCAATTCCTCCCCATAATCCGAGCAGCATTATCCAATTGTAATCTCCACATTTGTAAAAGAATTCCCTTTGGATTTGCCACGGGGCTCGCCAAACAATATCATTGCTTTGCAGATTTCGAAAAGCATTAATCCACATATCTTTCTTAATTTCTTTCGGCCATTCCTGCTCCAGAAATTCTTTTAATGGTGAGTAATCCGTATTAAAGCGTCTGTATGAAACCTTTTCTGTCCTCCAGAAATGACTACGGATCCAAACATATAACAACTGGGTACACCCTGAGAATCGTCCACCTCCTAGCTTTCTACAAGCATTTAACGATCTGAAGGTCTCTGCTAGGATTGCAGAAACAGGATTAATCTTTTTCGGTAGCTGTTCAAACAAATCTACCACTGCATCTTCAACATATCCCAATACTTTTGGGAAGATGACCATACCATACATACCCAGAGCAAATAAATCAAATCGTACTTTAACATCTGGATGACTCTGAATAAGTTCTTTAATGTTGGTCCAAGCAATGCCTTCGCTTTCACCTTTTTGTTTTGTACGGGATGCCACCCATTCTTCTCGTACCCCGGCAATCTTTGCTAATTTAACTCGAAAGGGTTGAGTTTTAATTGACTTTGAATAGATTCGATTCTCCAAAGCCCCATCTATATGTATCAAAGTTGTGTACTCTTCAATAGTAGGGACCAAATCTTCTTTATTGAGAGTGAAGCAATTGTACCCTGGATTCCAGAATTGAATTAGGGCTCTGAGCAATTCATCATCAACTTCAACATATAGCAAATATGGGATGTCTCCGTAAGTCTGATAAAACTGCAATTTTTTATTTGAATCCCAACTTTCCCAAATACTTCGCAAATCTTGCATATCATTTCTTTTTAGCGAAACTGGAGCATAACTGGCTAAGTCAGATACATAATCATCCTGCAGAATGTCTCCTTCTTGTCTTTGTAAATCCTCAGCCCACTGTCTTACTTCTGAGTTTAGAATTACTTGGTTTGAACACTTTTTATCCATGGATGAAGGCTTTCCAATGAGACAATTAACACAAGGATCAATGCCTTTTATCCTGTATGATGCTATGCAAACAGAAAAATAAAGAACACACAAAAAGAAAATAAATTAGTTTACATAATAAAGAAATTTAATAATAACATTTACATAAATATTTTTATTTAAACATGTTTTTTCCTTAATTTAAATAATTTAAATATACATGTAATTTAATCAGTAAAGAAAATAAATAAATTAACAGGAAAGTCAGAATTCATTTCTCCTGTGTGTACACCTATTTTGGACAAAATTTCGGCATGACTTCAGATCGGAAGAGTTTTTAGGGTTTTTTATATGTAGGGTTTCAGATCTAAGAATAAAGGTACCCGAATTGTCCTTGTTAGTGCCCCCTTGGGTTGCTAACCCTCAATCCTAGTCCATCACAGACTAAAATGGGTCGAGTTCAATTCGAGGGGATACATTTCTCTATGCCTGACACGGAGAATAAATTCTCACGAAAACATAGAGTATATGAACCCCGAAAGTTACTTGCTAGGTCTGACACAGAGAATAAATTCTCACGAAGACGTCGCTTTCACTCCCACTTAAAAGGGACAACTCAATTATAGAGCTTTATGTTATGCAATGCAAGTGTTGTGTGTGAGGAGAAATGTTCAAACCTTTGACAGAAAAATAAATAATGAAATAAAATACTTGCAAATAAAATAAAACATATAAATATTATGAAAATAATAAGTAAAGATAAAAATTTTGAAAAGAAAGAATTAAAAAATTAAATATATGAACTTTTAATTTTTAATTAATAGAGACAATTTATAATTGATTTTAAAGTTTGACCGGTCCCCAGCAGAGTTGCCAAGCTGTCGTAACCGGTTTTCATCCGGGCACGAATTTTTTTACTTTGCGGGAAAATTGATGTAAATAAATGCTTTTGAAAATAATTTGGGAGTCGCCGTCGGCCTTTTGGGTCAGGTAGGTCAAATACTTAAAAATTATTTTTTAAAAGAGTTTTAAGAAAACATCAATTAAAAATGAACTGATCTGCATTTATAACCAAAAAATTCGTTCTTTTTAATAATAAAAAGGGATTCGTGGTCGGTTACGTTTAGGGAAGGATTAGCACCCCTACAACGCCCAAAATTGGTACTTTTTAATTATAAATTGTCTCTATTATTATAAATTTAAAAAATTCAAAATATATTTAATTTATAATCCTATTATTTCAAAATTATAAAAAATATTTAAAAATATTGGAAAAGAACTTCTAGGTGCCTTAAGACAGCTCTTTTCTTTGATATTGATAAATATTAATTTAAATTAAATAATATTTTTTTATAATTTTTTAATTTTAAAATACCAGAATAGGACATCCAGTTGTATTAAGACTGTCTTTTTCTTCGATATTGAAAAATAAATATTAAAATAATTTATTTAAAATAATATTTATTTATTATATCTATTTATGGCTACATAATAAAAATATTTAAATATATAAACAAGTAAAATTAAAAAATATAATTAGAGCTATATATTTAAAAGCAATAAAAAAATATTTAAAATAAGTGACTAAATCATAGTAAAAGTAAAATTAAAAACCTAATTCATAATTAATCAAAATTATAGGGATTAAACATGCTATTTCTTTATTTTATTTATTTAGTGACTAAAATAAAATTATTTAAAATTCAGATTTTAGAATAAAATAAATTAAAAATATAAACTAAGGATTAAAATATTATTTATTAAAATTAAAGGATTAAATCTGTTATTTATCCTAAATATATTATTTAATATAAAGGACTAAAAAAATAAAATTTAAAATTTAAAGATCAAATTAAAAGTATTATAAACTTGATTTAGTGACTAAAATGGAAAGTTTACAAGTTTAAATGGCTGCGGAAATGATTTAACTATTCTTTAATTACACACATAGTCCTTCCCGAAACGACGTCGTTCGGGAAGGCCTATATAAGGTCCAAAATGGCTGGCCCGAAGGGCCAGCCTTCATTTCAATTTTTTTTTTCTCTCTCAAGCAGAGAGAGAGCCAGAATTCTCTCTGGCCTCTCTCTAGCTTCCCTCATCGGAGGGAAGCCGGTCACCGGACGGCAACCGTCTGCCGCCGTGACCATCACCGCCGGCCACCGCTTCTGGTGGCCGGAAAATTTTATTTTTACACTAATGGGTAGATCGGACCGTCCTAAGGACGGTTCCGGTGTTATTTTCTCCTAAAAAGCTCCCAATCGGAGCAAATCTAGGAAAATACCTTCGGTTTTCGAAGGTTGTTGGTGACGTTTGGAGGGTTCCGGTGGTCGTGGCTTCCTCGGTAAGCTTCTCTCCTTCCTCTTCTTCTATTTTTGATTGCTGGTTGTTGTGATTTGGTCTCTATTTTGTATCTTTTGCTCTCGGTTTTTGTCTCTCTGGGATCTGTTGTTCTCTGTCTCTGTCTTTTTTTTTTTGCAGGTTGGGTGATGGCTTTATAGCCATCACCGGTGCTCATCTCGGACCGGTCCGAAGAATAGAGTTCGGTGAGTCACCGGACTCCCAGTGGTGACTCACTGCTAGAGTAGCTACGTGGGTGGCCATCTAGGTCTTCTGGAGGCTTCGATGGAGGCGTGGCACTGGCAGCAGAGGCGGCTGGAAGCTGGACCGTTGGCTGAGGCGGTTGGAGGCAGAGGCGGCTGGAGGCAGAGGCGGCTAGGGTTAGAGAAACCTAACTGAAACCCTAAATGTTTAGGGTTTCGGTTTGGTTAGGGCCGGTTAACTGGGCTTGTAATTTTTTAATATTATTTATGTATATATATATATATATTTAATAATAATAATAATAATAATAATAATATTTATAATAATAATAATAATAATAATATTTATAGTAATAATAATAATAATAATATTTATAGTAATAAATCAATATGGGTAAAAAATTAGTATCTTCACACCCAATAGCCACATACATTGCAACCATCAACGAGCAATACAGGGACATCATCCTCTGCACCCTGGTTGGTACTGTAAAAACTTTTAGCCCCAAGAAGCTAAAAAAGTGAATCAGTACAAAATTGACCACGCAAAGAAACTTAGACAGTACTAATAAAGGGTCGTTGTTGGATCACGATAAAGCTCTATATCTTGAGGAAGCTCCTCCTTTTGCACCTTCTTTCTCCTATAAATAGTTGCAGGCTTAGGTACATTGGATTTCCTCTTTTGGTATTCCTACATGAAAATTCTCATACAATTAAGATAAAAAGGAATGATTTACAATAAAATAAAAGAAGCTTAATGGTTTCAGACCTTCCACAACTTTAAAAACTGCAAGTTCTGCTTGACATTGGATGTGATTCTTGGAGGAGCTGATTCAGGACCCTTACCCTATCAATGATAAAGCTTAGCTTTTTAGAAACAGTATGAAAAGGGGTGACAAATCTCCAGTTAATCTGAAGAAAAATTGCTGGAAAAAAAAACTGAAAACCTTATTGGGAGAAGTAGAAGAGGACATTTTGAGGATGACTGTCATGCCCTTGTAGGTAGTGGAATCGCAGCAGCAATAATGAAGTGATTGACTGATGATTTTCATCTTCAGCGAAGATCATTACGTCATTAGCTCCGTCCCTTGCCTTTGCATTCAAACGGAAAACTTAAAAGCACCGTACGGCTCAGAGAGCTTCCATCGTCTTGTTTTTTTTTATTCAATTTTGATATATCATTATCGTAATTATTTTATGGATGAATCACCACAAATATTTTTGAGTAAAGTATACAGTCTCAAGGAGTTGTTTTTGTAATTTTGTAACTATTAAAAGTTATAAAATAAATTTTTAATTATAGAGTATTGTTTTGTTAAGTCTCTCTATTATTAAAAGTTAAAAAATTATCACTTAATTATTTATATATTCGAAACTCATAAATTTTTCTTTAAATTAACGATTGTTGGACATTAATATGTTGACAAATATATCATAAAATCATATTTTAATGATGTATGCTAGAACTGTTGAAGACTGGTTCGACGACATAATGTAAATAGATAGTCAATCCGCAAAATACAACTCAAATATTTCTGGGATTAAATTTTATTATATCTTAATCAATTGTTTAACGTCCAACTTTGACAACAATCTATTTTTATAAAAAAAAAGGACGTGTTTAAAGAATATGAATAATCGAGTCACTATTTTTTAACTTTTATAAATTTTCAAAAGTTAATTTTTCAGCCTCTTCGAAAAAACTAACGTAAACTACATTATTAATCACTTTCATTTTAATTTTGTTCACTTTTCCTCATTAAATTAAAAATAATAATATATGACCGCCTTCAATTTAAAAGTCGAATATCACTGGCTAGACATTTAAAAGTCGATAAGGTAAGTGATTACATATTAATTAAATAAAACGAGCAAGGTCACATCTTAAGAAAATAAAAACTAAATTGATAAAATATCATGTTTTTTTTAATTCAATAAGAAAATATACAAAAATTAAACGAAAGTGTCAAAATAAATAATTTTCATTTTTTCTCTAAAAAGAATATCCTTTTTAACCCTAAACCTAATCCTTATCCTTGTAACCGCAGCCATGGCCGCCTTTAGCTGCGGCTCGACCTCCTTGTGTGTTTTACACAAACCTCGTTCCAAAAGCAAAAACTACGACCAATAAGATCTCAGATTGCAAGTATTTGTAAGAGGGGAAAGCACATAAAAATGAACAGCTAAGGCAAGAATTCTATGCTCCGGAAACTGCAATAATTAGACGTCAGACACAAATTTATTGTTAAATCAACTTAAGCGTTTAAACTCGTGTTTCAAAGAATACAGTATTGATACCATACATATACACTATATATAACATGAAATCCAAATGGACTTCATATTCAAATGACCAGATCCTGAATGCCAAGTCCTATTCTCCAATCTAATAGCCAAACCACCATAACTTCACTACTGCAGGTTGTTCCATTGCTAATCTCCTTTCTTGCCCTTTGCACTACTTTCACTTTCGAGGTCATCAAGGTGCCAAAAAATACTTCCAGAATCATAATACCGTAAGTCAATATGAACTGGAAGCAGATAATGAATTGAAAAGCATGTTTACGGCTTCCACGGTGCCGGAGGTGGTGGTGGTGTCGGGAACATTGGTGGGACTGCAGAAAATATAGTATTCTTATCGATCCCAGTCGATCTATCACCAGACAATGCCACGAGTGCAGCAACCAAACCAGCGTTGCCTGCAAGAGTTGGCTCGGTGTAGTTGTAGTTGGTACGAACGTCGTGAAATCCATCATGCCTGTCGGGTCCAGCAACCATGGCTCCCACAAGTGTGTTCGGGTTTGGCTTTTTCGAATCCCTCCATTTCCATCCCCCCTTACAGTTATATCTGATTTTATTCTTAGGGGTAGATGCACCTCTATGGTGAACATGTTTTGGGTAGTGGTTACCAAAACCCACAACATAGCTCATTTTCCGAGGATTTTCACCGAGGATGTAATCGATCTGCAAAGTAACAGCCGAAGAAACAAAATTATTGTCTACCAGCCACGGAATGATTCAGGATTTAGTGGTACGAACCATTTCCCCTAGACTACAACATACCTGGGTTTTAGCAAATTCACGCAAGACATTAGTTGAATAGAAATTTGGACCACAATACCATCCAGGTGTATCGGCAGCGTCAAGATAATCGCTGAATAAGGCGGCTAAGAAGGCTGCATTGACAACATACTGCAGAGGCTGAGGCCTACCATGGTTTAACTGAATCAAACCTCCTGTAGCAATGTCCAAAGTTACAAAGGTCAAAAGAAAATTACATAGCCGACACAGTTAAGTATGACATGGTTAACAAAAACAGGAGATTTTACCTTTAGTTCTATTAAAGCTAGTAAAAACTGGAAGGTATGAGCACATAACTATGCTGGTTTGATTGTGAAACGTTCTCAATATTTCCTCGTATGGATATCCAGGACTTAAAAACAATCTCAGCCGGCTCAAAAGCACCTAAAACACAAAACATTGGTTATATTAGTGATGAACATAAAAGATACTTTCAAAAGGCTCTATCACTAACACAGAAAAAAGCTTATAAACCTATATGGGCAGATTGTGACAAGTAGTAAATGTATAACTTGTTACTGCAAACGAAGACATACGCAATTAAGCGCGCTAATTGAATTTTATCCAAGAAGCATAAGTGCAGCTTTTACAGCCTTGAAGCTAGCTAAATCTGATCCAGGAAATGTATGATTGATGATTTTGCAGTAGTCATACACAAAGTTGAGGAAAAGATCAAGGGGGAAAATGATTAACTATAAAAAAAATGAAATAACATATGAATGGCCATGGTTCTTAAAATATAGTAGAGACTACTTGATATAGAAGACAATAATGATGGAGAAACAAGAACTAGAATGAACATTTACAACTATGAACATAGGGCAGAAAACTGGAAGAATTTTTTTCCAAATGGTATCAAGAAAACTAATCTTAATTGCATTTGAAAATCACAGTGCTGCAAACAACGCAAACCAAACCTAACATATAAATTCAAAGGAAACTTTTAACAAAAATGCCATTCGTTAACCAAATAGAGCAGACAGCAACAAGAGAAAACTAGAAGACAAGCAGCATAAAGTTACCTGAGCACCAGCAAGCTTGTTATCCCAGCTAAGAACGCCATAATCTGGGCCTCCCCAGAAAGCCCCAGCATGCTTGGCAAGTTTAGGATGAGTAGCCAACTGAAGGTAGGAAGAGTTCCCAGTGGCATAGTATAACCAGGCTCCACCCCAAACGAACTCATCCCAGTAACTGGAGGAGTTATAAAAGAGGGCAGGGTCAGAACCACCAGCACTATATCTGCCTCTTTGATCCCTGGAAAACTGAAAGAGGGTCCGTGCACCGTGGACAAGCTTTTGAGAGTATGCCTTGTTGTCTTTGAAAACAATGGAAGCAGAAGCCAAAGCAGCAGCCATTTCGGCAGCAAGATCAGAGCAGCTGTGACATTCATAGACAGGGCGCGGGTAATCAATGTCCTCAGGGCGCATCCAGCAATAATGATCATTCGGTGTCGTACTGCCTCCAGAAGTATCTCCTACCCCAACCTGCGAATTTATAACTTAGCAATTAGCATAGAAAAATGACAAAGAACAGTAAAATAAGGAATAGTATCCGTATAACTATACCTGTGCTGCAATCTTATCTATTTTATCAGCTGAATTGTTGAAGGTCTTGAGCAGATAATCAGTACCCCATTTGATAACCTCCTTAATATGATTGAGTTCCCCAGCAGCCTCGTATTTAGCACTGTACTCGATGACGCTCCAGCTCAACATGGTCATGGCAAAAGATGCAGGGAAGTTGAACTTGATAGCATCTCCAGCATCGTAGTAGCCGCCGACCAGATCCTTAATCGTAGTAGAGGTATCGGATTTGCCATCTCGGAGGCACGAGTTTCCTCTCCACGACACATTATTATGCTTAGGCAGCTTCCCCGCTGCAGTGCAATTATAAATTGGCTTATCACCGTAATTATATGTAATTAAGACTATTATACTACATTAAGCTCTGAAAAGCATGGATTTAACCTGATCTAACCAATGCCCAACTTAGATCTATAATAATTGAAGCTAAAAAAACTAAGATAAACTTACAACGCTGAGCGTTGAAGAACATGAGCGCCTTGTGAAGTGCGAGAGTGTAGTTATCGGGTGGAGGCTTGCCGTGATGATGACGTGGAACCGTTTTCACGATCAAGGTGATGAATCCGGCGAGAAATCCGGAGACGAGCAGTGTCCCGACCGTCCAAACAAAGATCTTGCGGCTGACAATGATGCATCCGAGATCGACGTACCTCTTCTTCTTCTTCTGCTCGCTGGGGCCAAGCAGCCAGCTCTGCTGTGTCTCGTCCAAGGGACGAGAGAGCGCAGCCCTGTCCAGGTCTTGAAGGTTCCTGCTCCGGTCGTCGTCGGTGGCGGAATCCGCCGCGTTTATCTCCAGCGGGCCTCCCCACGGATCTCTACCGTACATGCTCATCTTGATGAGCCTTTTTCTTTTTGCTCGAAAAAGAAAGAATAGACGAACTAAATTATACTTCAAAGAGACTACAATGGAAGCAGCAGATCTGATTGAGATGAGAGGAAGGGGAAATGAAATTGATTGATGAAAAGAAAAAGATGGGGTAAGCACCAGGCAGTGTTTGCTTTCGTTTTCTATGCTTTATTGCTTTTTTAGAGTGCGAATGTGAACTTAGATTGTAAGCTAAGCTATCATTGAGCTGGTTGCCCTGCTTGAGACGAAATATAATACATTTTTGGTTAAACTCTATAAAAGATACCCTATACTATGTTTTCTTTTGGATTTAGTCCTTATTGTAATTCTATCAAGGTGTATGTATCACAGTATCATATATTTAAAAAAAATAAGTTAAATAAATTATTGAGGGGATTAATGGTAAAAGATTAATCTCGAAACTAGAAATACACGTTTCACAAAATATAAGGTTAAAAAATGTTCGAATTATAGGAAATGGACTGAATTAGCAAAAAGTAACATAATAAAAGAACCTCTTATAGAATTTGACCAATCTATTTTACTTACTAATATTAATATGCTCTTGTCGGAAAGGGATAAAAAAGACAAAGACCAACCCGTGCAGTCAGAAAATCTTAGTTTTAAAAATAATGTTATGATTACATTTAATTAAGTAATTAGTTAAAGTATTCATAGAATAATAATGATGATTACTGAGAGACAGCGACAGTCCAGCTGTAATGTATGCTTGGCGTCCAATTTAATTTATTACACGATTTCCACAAACCAACTGCTGAGAAGTTTTTGGTGTGAGGCGATTAAAAATTGGTTAAAAAAGTGTAATTGATTAAATAAGTGATTAGTTAAAATATATACATGTATATATTTATTTTTGTCTCGAGTTATTTTATTTATATATATATATATATAATTTTATTATATATATATATATAAGTATATAGTAATATAGTTTGTGAAAATATTTTTGACAAAATATAATATATAACTTTCAGAAAACGATTGTTGAAAATTTATATATTATATTGTTTTTGAAATATTTTTAAAATATAATATATAGTTTTGGAAATATTTTGAAAAAATTTATATATTGTATAGTTTTTAAAATATTTTGAAAACTTATATAGTATATAGTTTTTAAAATATAATATATAGTTTTAAAAATATTTTTAAAAATTATATAATATATAGTTTAAAAAAATATTTTTTGAAAAATTATATAATATATAATTTTAAAAATATTTTTGAAAATTATATAATATATAGTTTAAAAACATTTTTTGAAAACTTATATAATATTTTTAAAGTATTTTGAAAACTATATAACATATAGTTTTGAAAACTTTTTAAAATAAAATATATAGTTTAAAAAAATATTTTGAAATATATATATTATATAAATTATATTTAGTATATTATTATTTTTTATTTTATTTTATTTTATTCATTTTAATTTATTTCATTTTTTTCAGGTTTAATGTCTTAGTCCGGTTCAAAGTGGTCCAGCAAAAGTCCAAAAGTCCACAGAACGGGCTTGACCCAACCCAGGTTCCAAGCTAGGGTTTCTCAACTTAGTCCCAGCGCCGCACATCTTACAGCCGTTAGATCAACCAGTGATCAACGGCTCAAATCACGTGATAATTAGGGTTTTGATGCCCTAAATAGTTCATCAAATGCACAGCCATATCTGGACCGTTGGATCTGACCCAATCCAACGGCCAGAAGCAATTTCAAAGGCCAGAAGCATCGCACGTCACCGGAAATGAAACCAGTCAAACAGGCAACAAACACGTTCCATAACAGAACGCAAATCTCGGTGAGATCGGGAACAAACCCGAGGTAATCGAGGATAACCCCAAAGCAATCGAAAACGACCCTGATGGGAGGCCCTATAAATACCCTACAAAGCCACGGTGGGGGAAAAGGAACAACGACGAGAAAATGACACCAAACAGTAAACCCACAGAGGACCAACGAGAACCACCACAGACCGAGAACCCTCGACAGTACAACCAAGAGAAACCCATCTCAACATATCAGCCAACATAAAAAAGAACATAAACCAACCTTGGGACAACAGTACCCACAACACAACATTAGCAAACGCTGCCAAAGATCCATAAACGACAAAAAAAATCAACCAAACATCATCAAGCCAAGATACCAACAAAGAACCCACGAAGAAAACAAAAACACCCAAAGCAGAGTAATGCAAGCATAAACACAAAACAAAGGAAACAAAGTAACGCAAGGACCAGCCGCGGTGTAGAGCAAAGAACCACCGAAAGTCTGAAAGTCGTCGGATTTAAAGGGTGAAATCCGAAGGTTGAGGTGCAGATCTACGTCGTTCAAAGCTTTTTTAGGAGTTTTTGCTCTCAGTTTTGGGATGGGGTGTTGAGACGAACATTTGGTGAGGATTTGGGCGATGGCCGGAGCGGCGGCTAGCGGCCGGAAATCGCCTGGTAGAGAGAGGCGAGAGAGTTTGTTTTCTCTCATTTCTAGAGAGAATGTAAGTGGAGAAAATGAGGGGATGTGAGGGATTGAGCCCGGTTTTGGGCTTAGATACTGATATCAAAACGGCGTCGTTTTACCGAGGGTCTCCTGCGCATTTTCTCGGCCGGTTAAACTATTCCACTGGTACTTGTGATTTGTAAGCTTTATGATTTGGTCACTAAGATAAAATTTTGGTACTTTCGATTTGGAGTTCTAATTTCGTTATGCCTACATTTTAGTCATTAATATATATATTTTCCTTTTTTATTTCATTATTTTTATTTTTATTTTTCTTATTATTATTATTATTATTATATTTATTTCACTAACCTTTACTTGTTTATTCTATATATTATCATTGTTACATTAATATTTTTCCTTCATATTTTATTTTTATTTTTTTATATTATATTATATTTATTTATTTATTTCACTATTATTTTTTATTTATTTTCATGCATTTTCTATTTTAATTCAATTATGCATTTCACGACAAATTTAACAGTTCTATCTTTTTAAGGGTCAATTTCCAACTAATCAAAGGTAAGTAGTTGAATCGAATTCTTAAATTTTAATTTAAATTCTTAATTTTTACAATTAAAGACAAACGACAAATTTATTGGTACCGAAAGGGCAGTTCAAGGGTGTTAATCCTTCCTTGACCGTAACCGACTTTCGAACCTGACACATTTATGGTACAACGCATATCAAGTAAGACGGTGTCCGACCCACCTAAATTCGTTTTAAAATGGTCGGTGACGACTCTAACCCAATTCATTCAAGTCGAAGCCCAATTCCGAGGCCCAACCGAAAGACGGTTCCAACAATACCGTAAATATTATATAAATTAACCGGAAATATAAAATAGGCGCTATCTATTATATTAAAATATTTATCTGTTTTTTTAAGGTTACTAATAATGTAAACAGTAAAAAAAATAGGTGCTACCTATTACTTTAAACTACCTATCGGTTTTTTAAGGTTGTTAATAATGTAAACGGTAAAAAAAAATAGTCGATACCTATTATATTAAAATACCTACCGATTTGTTTAGAGATTACTAATAATGTAAACGGTAAAATAAAATAGTGCCTTTTTTAAAGGTTACTAATAATGTAAATGATAAAAAAAAATAGGCGCTACCTATTACATTAAAATACCTATCGATTTTTTTAAGGTTGCTAATAATATAAACAGTAAAAAAATAGGCTCTACCTATTACATTAAAATATCTACCGGTTTTTTTGAAGGTTGCTAATAATGTAAACGGTAAAAAAAAGTAGGCGCTACCTATTACATTAAACTACCTACCGGATATGTTGAAAGTATCGATTTCATTTAAATAAGTATCGACACTTTTGGAATTTAAAAGAAAAACAGTAATAGCGCCTATAAAGTATCGATATTTTATAAAAATGTATTAATACATAACAATATAACAGGTAAAAATATGACAAAACCAGTTTTATTATGACAAAATCAGTTTCATTATGACAAAACCGGTAAAGAGCTATTAGATATGTTAAAAGTATCGATACTTTTTGTACATATATTGATACTTTGTTGAAAATTATGTAATTTATGTTTCAAAATTTTTTAATAGTGCTTCATGTTTTCCACCTACAATATTAATTAATAATTTCATTTACACAAAAAATTATTTGATTGTTTTGATATTTTATAAAATATTATTTAAAATTTAAATTTAATAATTTTAACCAAAGATAATAATAAATATGTAATATCTATGTTTATTATTTTTAATTTAATAATAATATATACCGTAACATAAAAATAAATCATTAGATGCGTATAATTACTACATTAATATCTTAAAATTCACTCAAAAGATAACCCTAAATTAATGTTTTCCACAGTGAAATAAGTATGGACACTTATATATATGTATCAATACCTACCGATAACCAAAGTTTATCGGTTACCAAATTTTTTAATAGTTTTTCATGTTTTCTACTTACAACATTATGAGTTTGTCAACATAATAGGTAGCGTTTTACCGAATTTATTAATTATCTTATTAAATTTTTGATCACGTCATTTTTTAACCGTATATTAATCTGCTTTTTTGAAACAACCCCCAACTGCTTCATTCCACGTCTCAGCTAAACGGTATGCAATAAATAAAAAGTATATATCTTTTATAATAAAAAAATGGTTTTCATATTTTATTGGAATTAAAAATTAAGTTACTTAAATGATAAAATCTTTGACCGAGCCATAAGGCACGGTTAGGTCCATTAATATTAATTAATCCAATCCAACCGGCTGGACCATTTTTTATTCAACCGAACCTTTGCCCACACTATGGCTCTGTTTGTTTTTTTAAAATTAGCTTTTAAGAAAATATTTTCTTCGTCTTTCAATGTTTGGTCAGCATAAAAATGATTTATAATTTTATTTTTAAAAAATGAATTAAAATCTGATTTTTTGTAAGTTCGTTTTACGAAGTTTTCACTTTAAATTTAAAAATAATATTATTATTTTGTGAATAAATAATATTACTCAGTGTATTATATCTGATGTTTATAATAAAGAATTTTATTATAATTTATAATAATTAATAAAATGTAATAATCATAATATTTTTATTTATAAAA